CAGACCCCGCGCTAGAGCAGACCCCACCCCAGAGCAGACCCCACGCTAGAGCAGACCCCACACCAGAGCAGACCCCACCCCAGAGCAGACCCCACGCTAGAGCAGACCCCACCCCAGAGCAGACCCCACGCTAGAGCAGACCCCACGCTAGAGCAGAGACCCCCACACCAGGGCAGACCCCACACCAGGGCAGACCCCACACCAGGGCAGACCCCACACCAGGGCAGACCCCACGCCAGAGCCGGCCGGAAGTAAACGGGCATGTGCTGCCTCACAACACATGTTTCCGAATCTTGGGAAGGAGTCAATCATTTACTTAAATGGCTGGATATGTTTTTCCAGAAAAATCCAGGCAGAGCACAGAGGGCTTCCAGGGCAGTGAAAACTGGGTCTGATACTTAAGTGGGGGGTACAAGTCATTGGACATTTATCAAAACCCACAGGACGGGCAACAGCAAGGGGAGCCCTGCTGTAAACCTGGGCTCTGGGTGGCGAGGGCGCGGCCATGGGGCTCATCCGTGGCAGCAAACGTAACGTGGGGGTGGGGGGGCTGTGAGTGGTGGGGAGGCTCTGCCTGTGGGAGGAGGGGAGGAGGCGGAAACATTCTGAAATCTCCGGACTTTCTGCTGAACTTTGCTATGAACCTAAAACTGTTCTAAAAACAAAGCCTGCTTAGAGGGGGTTAAAAACAAAATGACAAAACGAAGCTGGGCCCGAGCTTCCTGGCAGCGCAGGCAAGGAAGGCCTCCCTGCTGCTCCTGTGAGAAACCCGGCCACGTGTCCGGGAGAAAGAACTCAACCACCCCAGCCGGTGTGGCTCAATGGATAGTGCGCCAGACTGGGGTTCGATTCCGGTCAAGGGCACACGCCCGGGTTGTGGGCTCGATCCCCACAAGGAGGCGTGCAGGAGGCAGCCAACCAGTGATTCTCACTCATCACTGATGTTTTTATCTCTCTCTCCCTCTCCCTTCCTCTCTGAAATCAATGAAAATACAAAAAAAAGAAAAAGTGAAAGAACCCTCCCCACGGACACATCACGTGAATCCCAAGGCGCACAGACAGCACGAGGACAGACAGAGGGCTGGGCGGGGCCCTGCCTGGCCACCCCCCTCTGCACACGGTGAGAAATGAGTGACAGCCGAAGAGGCGACTCAGCAGAGCTTCCTGGGCCACGGACAGCTCGGCTCGGCACGGGCAGCCAGGCTCTCCCTCCGCCTGGGCGGCCACCGAACAAGACGGAGCCCAGCACAGACATGGAGGCGGAGCCTGTGTCCCCCTGGCTGCTGACCACTCGCTGCCAATTCACTCCTAAGCCAATCCATGGCCAGGTCCAGAAGGCCTGACCACCTCCAAGGCCAGGCTGCCCTCCAGGCTGAGCATGAGGGCCAGGGTGCCCCCAGGAGAGGGGGCCAAGCACCTGATTGGCACGTGGCTCTCTGGCGGCACCCTGCGCAGCCCCTGGCCGTGAAACCACAGGGGACAGAACCGACAGGTTATTTTCTCTCCCACAGAAGAGCTGACCAATGCAGTACCCAGCAGCAGCTACCCTCGGGGTCAGTGTGATGACCTTGAGACCCCCAAGGACAAGGAGACATGGTTACCGGCCACGCCGAAGGGCCGCCGCAGGCCTGAGGTCAGCTTCCGCGTGTTGTTGTCCCTCAGCTCCATGCGGCCCACGCGGACGATCTGACAGACGAAGCTGATTTTCTCCCTCTTCAGGTCTTTGCTGCCGAGGTCCTAGAAAAGTGAATTTCCATACATTATCCGGAGCCCCGTCTCTCAATGGGGGTTCCCCTGGGACAGAGGGCGGGAAGAGGCATCGAGACGCGTTCCTGAGCAGCTTTTAGCATTTTAGTAAGTAGCTCCGGACCAGAGAGGAGCTGGGGAACAATAGTCGGTCAGCGTCGGGGGAACCTGCGTCCGCGTGGGAGAGATGTGTGCCGGGAATGCCGTCGGTCTTTGCTCGGGGGATGCTACGGGAAGCTAGGGACCCAGAGGACTTCCGGGAAGGGGTCATTATGATGGCATGACCATGCATGACGGGCATGCCAAGAACCATGTGCCCGTGTGGGGAGAGGTCAGAGCGGGGTCATTAAACACAGTCATTAGAACGCTGAGCGACTCTACCCAACACCGCCGGACGCACTTACGGTGAAAACAGCCCGCAGGTTATGTAATCTGTCTATGTCTTTAGGCAATCCTGAGCTGGACCAGCGAACCAGGTAGTTCTCACTGGAAAGAGAAAGAAAGAAAAGCAAATTAATTTTTCCATCGATAGCAGGGCGCTCAGTGCTCAGCCACGCTGGCTGATGGTTAATACCACGGAGGTTCAGAGAGCAGACAACCACGGGCATTGAGCAGTATCAACGCCAAGCACCATGGCCGCTCTGCTAACGGAGGAGAGGAGCGACTGCCCGCACCGGGGCATCTGAGATCCGCCCGAACACAACCCTCGGGCGGGTTCAACCCCGGGCGTCTAGGGTTATAGTCACAAAGGAACTGTCTGAAAATGGCATTTCAACATTTACTACGTCTAAAGCATGTTTGTCATTGAGAATGACTATAGTCTAAAATTTACCATTCAACCGGCCACTGTGGCTCAGTGGTTGAGTGTCGACCTATGAACCAAGAGGTTCAATTCGCAGTCAGGGCACATGCCCAGGCTCCATCACCAATAGGGGGCATACAGGAGGCAGCCCATCGACGTCGCTTTCTCTCTAGCCCTCTCCCTTCCTCTCTTTCTAAAATCAATAAAAACGTATTTTTTTAAATAAATAAAATTCCCCACTCACTCATTTACGGTAGGAAATAAACACTGCGTTATTTCACAGCCTGACAAGCCAAGTATGACGGAGCCTCTGTCCGGAGAAACAAAGCCCGTATGTGAAGTGAGCGTGAAATCCACTCACGTGGTCTGTTTCCTGGTGCACACTCACTTTTTAAATTTTGAGTAACACGCGTGAAGGTACTGGAGTTTTACACACACACACACACACACACACACACACACACACGCGCTTCACACATAACTCAAACCATCCTTCTTTCCAACTGGACAAAGAGAAGGTCATACTGAGGGACAAAAGCAAGGAAGTGGGGAAGAGAGGACCACGCCAGCAAGGACAGGGTGCCAGACAGGGTTTACTGCATTTCACTGCATAACGATTAACTGGGAGGCTCCAGGGGGCAGGCCTCCGTCTAGACACTGCCCACGGGGACAGTCACAGAGAAGGGAGGTTCAAACAAGAGGATGAATAGGAGCGTGAGCGTGGGGAAGCCGGGTCTATCGCCCCCAGGAACAGAGGAAACAAGTGTTACTTCCATCTGCAGTCGCTGGGCCCCTGAAACTTCGCAAGACTGACGCTCTCCAATGTAAAAGACCCATGAAGCCCGGCTGGTGTGGCTCAGTGGTTGAGTGTCGACCTATGAACCAGGAGGTCAGGTTTCGATTCCTGGTCAGGGCACATGCCCGGGTTGCAGGCTCGATCCCCAGTAGGGGCCTGCAGGAGGTAGCTGATCAACGGTTCTCTCTCATCACTGATGTTTCTATCTCTCTCTCCCTCTCCCTGCCTCTCTGAAATCAATAAAGATATATTAGAAAAAAAGTACCCGTGTACAGGAGAAGGCTGACCCTGGCCCAGAGCCTGGGCTGCCCGCCACCACAGTGTCCCGGGAGAGCAGAGGGGTCAGCCGCTTGAGGGGAGTCTGGCCCGTGGGTCCCCGGGGGCTCTTTGTAGGAGTAAGACATCAGGATGGCACCGACCTGATGAACTTGGACTCCACGGGGTCATAGAGGGACATGAGCACCTCGGCATCCTCTCCGATTTTGCACACCACGTTTTTGAGGTTGACGAACAAGGCCAGGGAGGGGGTGGCGGCGAACTTTGCCTGCCGGCTGATGTCCATGTTCTGCTTCTGGGACTGGAAGTGGAAGCAATGTGGAAAGGCGACATTAGCAACACTCTTCGCCAACCCTTGCCCTTTTATTAATCTCCTACAGAACAGGAAGCCAGGCGTGACCCGCCAGCACACGGGGCACAGTCACTTCCTTGTCCCTGAGTTCTCAGAACCGGCATGCAGCCAGCGGAACATAACAGCACCCCAGGTGACAGCCACAGCCATCGGGGCATAGACGGAGTACTTTCCTCAGAGACCCGCAAACATTTCACGGACCCCGAAAACCTACTCTCTACGCAGGATGCCTCGAAAGGCCACGGAAGATGAGAAAGATCACTAAGACGTGTGTTCCTGCCCCCATCGGGCTTAAAATGTCACCCCGACACATAGCCAAGAAGCTGTGCAGAATCAAGTGTCGTTTCCCAGGAGGTGAGAACAAATGTCATTGGAATCCTGCCTCCCGCCCGGCTGGCGTGGCTCAGTGGTTGAGCGCCAACCAATGAACCAAGAGGTCCCCAGTTCAATTCCCAATCAGGGCACATGCCCGGGTTGCGGGCTCGATCCACAGGAGGAGGCGTGCCGGAGGCAGCCGATCGATGTCTCTCTCTCATTGATGTTTCTCTCTCTCCCTCTCCTTTCCTCTCTCTCTAAAATCAATAAAAAACATATTTTCAAATAATAAATAAAAAATAAATATAAAAAGGCCCTGCCTGCTAACACCCCTGCACACAGAGGGATGGAATCCTTCCAGGCCAGCAGCACCGCGCCTGGCAGCAGGCCCCACTCCGTTCACCACCGTGTGGAGCACGCCGTGTGGCTGTGCCTGAGCGGGTCCTTTTCAGTGCACAGCCTGGCTTGGCTGGTGCTGGGCTCGTTAGAGCTGAAGCTGTTACTGGGAGCAGCGCCCAGAGGTGAATGGCGGACTGCAGAGCGCTACGCGCACCTTTTCTTCCTGTAACCTTTCCTCCACTTGTTTGGACGCCACTTCATGAGCTCTGAAGAGGCTGATGGTGCTGGTTAGTTCCGGATCCAAGATGTTCCCATCCTCGTCTCTCACCACCAAGTCCAAATCGAGAATTCTGGAACAACAAGAACTCAGAACTTCAGGCACAAAGACCAAGGGCTTTGACTTCTCCTAACACACCTTCAGTCCAAGTAGCTGAGCAGAGAAAAACACCATCGAAAGTCGGGGTCACCCACAAATATTCAGGAAACGTAATTCTGCAAGGTCACTTCCCTAGGAATTCAAAAAATAAGTCAATAACAAAAACTTCCATTGTCTTACAGTGAGGAATGTCACAGATCCATCAAGCCCAAGTGACAAGTGCATTATTAGTTGCTATATGAACAGTATCAATAGCTGAACGCACCCACACACTGCATCTGTTCCGGGGAGTCCCACCGCACAGCGTCCTTCTACTTCTAGTCAGTTCTAATCCCTACACTAGCCCATCAGAAGATCTGCAATGAACAGGTTCCGTGTTTCAATGCCAAACATATGGAAGTTATCCACGACAGCAGGAAGCAACTTTCTGGCCAGATGGTGAAATATAGTAGCCGACGGAAACCGTGAGCAGCGTCTGGCCGCGTCTGGCCGATAAAGCTGTCCATCCACAGCTACATGTTTTTTTGGCAACATTCTCTCCCTTTTCTCAAATCCAGCAAACTGGTTTGGTGATTTTTTTTTTTTTAACCATCATTTCTATTTAAGGAACAAAGGTGAGTATATAAAGAAAGGGTTGTGCCACGGTGGTACGAAAACATGAGGATTTAGACCAGTGGTTCTCAACCTTCCTAATGCCGCGACCCTTTAATACAGTTCATGTTGTGGTGACTCCCAATTTGTTACAAATTGAACATAATTAAAGCATACTGATTCATCACAAAAACAAGATGTAATTATATATGTGTTTTCCGATGGTCTTAGGCGACCCCTGTGAAAGGGTCGTTCGACCCCCAAAGGGGGCGCGACCCACAGGTTGAGAACCGCTGGTCTAGGCCATAGATGACTGACACTTTGCCTTTGAGATTTCCTGCCTGCCATTCACAAGTCTATTGAAGCAGAACACTGTCATATGTTTTTAACCATAAAACCTAGGAAAGTCTGTTTAAAGAAAGACACATTTCCACTAGAGAATGTCTTTCATGGGCACAAGGTGAAGAGGAACGTGGACTTGGCAATAAAGACGCCATCCCGACAAACTGACCCCCGGCTTCTTTCCCTGAGGGTCGCCCAGCGTCCGCTGTGATGGGAATAAGACCACGCGTCAGGCGGGTTTCGTGTCCACCGTTTGGACAGCAACCACAGAAATCTAACTTTTTCCTTTTAATATCAATTAAGCAAGTTCACTGATGGTGAAGCAGGACCCATGGCGGCCTGTCAGGGGCACGAGAGCACACAGGCTTTTGAGCAAAGAGTCCCTGTCCCGCGTGGACACAGCCTCAGTCCCTGCAATGACTACGGCGCCTCGAGAGGAACAGGAAGACGATTTCTACGGCAGCCATGTCAGCTCTCATTAGTTGTCTTTGCAAATTCTACTGCTTCCCCCAGCCCTGCAAGGGCCCCTGACAGTTAGTGCTGTGTGGGCGGGGTCGCTTCGAGCTGGGTGGAGTCAATGCTAATGAGTTGGGGAGGGGATCCATTGGGGTGTGGGAGGAGCTGCTAAGCTCCTGGGTTTAGGCCTGGCCAGAAGGTCCAGGCTAACAAAGCCCCCCACACAGAATCAGCATCCTGCCGAGAGGACCCGGGCCGGTGCCGACCTGCTGTGCACATCCATCCTGCCACCGACACCTCACCACCTCCTGCCAAGGCAGATGGTCAGACCCACTTCGCAAAGGAGGACACTTCAACTCAGAGAGCCACCTGGAGGAGCCCAGAGCCTGGATTCTGAGCCAGGACCCTCTGCTGGCGGCACCCACGCTCCTCCCAGAATGCCACGTGCCATCACAGGGAGTGGCCTGCCAACCATTCTTTGTGGCTTTCTCAGCAACCACCGCTCAGAGGCCCTGAATCATTAGCAAGGAGCATCTTAGCCGAACAAGAGAATCTAGCCCGTCAGAGACGAACACCCCGGACGCCGAAGCTCCACTGAGGAAAGGGGGCTGGGACCGCCCAAGACATCATATGCGAAGCCGTGTGTGCGTCCGGTACGTGCGTTTTCCTAGAAAGGGGGTCCTTGACTTTAATCAAATGGCCTTTGTCAAATGTTTCCCGGAAGCCGCTTTAACATCAAACTTGCAACACTGTGATTCTATTTTATATCGTTTTTCCCCAAAGAAGGACCTAGAGAGCTATGTGCAGCGCCCTGGGCTAGAGAGAAATGACAGAGTGCACTCCAGTTCCTCAGGCAAAACACTGTCTTCCCACCGACTGTGCTTCCCATCAAAGGAGTAAATCCCTTTGGAAACACCTCCTTTCTTAACTGCATTGTCCCCGCATCAGGTACTCCGGCAGCTTCCCGCAGCCAAACGAGGCAGATGGTCTCTGGACATAACTTGGAAATACGATGCTCTCATGGAAAATAACATCAAAGCTCCCACAGTGTGGGTTTTTCAGGCAGGTGGCCATGAAATGGGTGTCACGTGACAATGTCAAAGATCCTGTATCTAGAACCCATTGGGGGGTGGGGGGGAGATCACCAGGCAAAGGGCAGGCCCTCACCCCGCTTCCTGAAGAGAATAGCAGGTTCTACTGCGACTCGGAAAACTCCTGGTGTTCGAGATGCAACAGAAAAATCTCCTCCCTTTAAAAATGAAAACCACGCCACTGCCTGGCCGTGAGAAGTTTGGCTTTATGATAAAATAGGAGTTTAGTCTCCTCCAGGCTTCGGTCGATGTTATCGCACCGGATCGCTTAAGCATGAAATCAGCTTCCAAATGAACACACCTGTTTCCATAGTCGATCTTGGCTGTGACCTTCTTCTTCAGCTCCTTGAGCTCGTCCTGGGGCAGCGTCCCGGAGAGGATCTGTGACCGCCATTCGATGAGGTCGTAGATCATGTGCCGCACGCTGCGGAACATCTCCCTGTTGTCTTGCTGCACGGAAGGGGCAGAGAAGCCAAGGTCAACGCTCTGGCATAACCCAGCCCTGGGGGGGATTGGGGGGGGCGGGGGTTGCAAATACACGTGCAGTGAATGCCTTATAGGACAGAATGTAACTTATGTCCGATTAAAAGGCATTTTAATCCGGCCGGCCTGGCTCAGTGGTTGAACGTCACCTATGAACCAGGAGGTCAGGGTTCAATTCCCAGTCAGGGCACATGCCTGGGTTGTGGGCTCGATCCCCAATGGGGGCGTGCAGGAGGCAGCCAATCAGTGATGATCTCTCATCATTGATGCTTCTATTTCTCCCTTCCTCTCTTTGAAATCAATAAAAATATATTTAAAAATAAAAAAAAGACGTTCTATGGAATGTGGTTCCTACCAGACACTAAAAGATGAAAAGAATAAAAAAAGTAATGCATGACCCTCAACGTTGTGTCTGCATTGCAGACGAGGCACCTCTGAATCAACAGGCCGACCAGAGCCGGGTGTGCCCGAGAGCCTCAGAGCCAGCCCACTGGAGTAATGGCCCACGGGGCAACCACGGACCCCTTCGGAGTAAGTCCGAGCCTACAGCTCCCGCCTGCCCAGACTGGCATCTCTGCGCAGCGCCCCAGAGCACCAAGGTCCTGCCGACACATAGGCGGGAGGCTCCTGCAAGAAGCAGGATCTCAGTCGAGGAGCCAGAAGGGAAACGCAAAGGTGCAGGATCCACACTTCCTCTCACTGTCCACCCATCTCCAGGGAGGGACGGTACTGAGAAGAGCCACGGTTTGCACCTGCTCAGTCAACTGGCCAAGGAAACTAGGGACCGTCCAAAGGGAGACTAGCCCCGTGGTTCTTCCTGTGAAAAGAAATCTAGGGGACGCCTGAGTCGGTAAAATTCTAACCCTACGATCCCTATGAAAGATTTAAATGTGATCGTCGCTGCCTGTTAAAGTAACGTCTCCTCCACATCCCTGAATCTCTCGCCCACTACTTCCAGTATGTCACCTCCTTCCAACGAGTTCCTAAAACCCCCACCCCCATCATCATATAACACACTCACATCCCATGAACTCTTCTTTATGGTATGATCCTGACGTTCATTTATTAAATGAAAACTAAACGGTCAAAATTAATGGTTTACTGAAAAATTGTTTTTGTTCCCCTTTTATTAATTCTCCCGGTCCATTTTTCTAAAGCCTTAGCAACTATCTAACATCCTTAATATTTTGCTAAATTGTCTACAACACAGTAAAGCAAAAAGTAATCACAAAAATAAAAAATAAAAAAATAAAAACAGCATAAGCATTTATCTTTGGCTTTGTACAAATCCCACAATGTAGGTCCATAAAAGGCAAATATGAATTTTTTAAAAGGAGACCAAAGGAGCCACTGGGAATGCCTGCTTCAGGGCAATATGGCTAAAACCTTGTCCACTGCCCAGCCCACGTGGCTCCGTGGATGAGCATCGACCTATGAACTGGGAGGTCACGGTTCGATTCCTGGTCAGGGCACATGCCCTGGTTGCGAGCTCCATCCCCAGTAAGGGGCGTGCAGGAGGCAGCTGATCAATGTTGATGTTTCTCTCTCATAGATGTTTCTATCTCTCTCCCTCTGCCTTCCTCTCCGAAATCAATAAAAATATTTTTAAAAAATAAATAAATCACATAAAACCGTGTCCACTAACACATGAGGCAGCATCCACTCCTATTTGTTTTGCTGCATTATTTTGTTTAAAATTTGCTAAGTCAAATGTGAAACGGCAACGACAAAATTGCTCCGATTTACACAAAACATTCGTCGCTAGCTGGACGCGATGAGGTCTGGGAGAACATGTGATGAGCAATTACGGCAACTGCTCATTACTGTGCGTGTGCAGGAAGCGGCTGCAAAATGAAGACCAAGGAGCCCGCCGGGGCGCAGCTGCGGGGTCTCAGGAAGCGTCCAGATCCCCAGACCCAGGCGCTGCCGGCCCTGCACAGCCCAGCTCCCAGCTCTGAGCTGACGGCATTAGCATATGGGAAGAAAGCAGCAGCTGGAATAGAAATAAGGGCTAACAAAAGGTAATCTTTGCAAATATGAATTTTTGTGCCCTGAGGGAATAGGAAATGGAAGATGCCACGGCCCCAACCTCTCTGCATTAATAAGACTTTTTCCACAACCAGCAGAAACGGACAAAGTAGCCAGAATGGAAACGACCCCCGCCTCTAACAGTCACGCTTAAATCCACACGGCTGCGTCATTTCCTCCAATGATAACAGCCGAGTGGCCAAAAAAAAAAAAAAAATAGTAATCATCTCCTACCAAATCCCTAAATGAGCACCTACTGCCGTTTAAAAGCAGGTTTTGTCTTCGAGAACAAAATATAAACACTGAGGGTCGGTCGCAAGGACTGCCCAGTCCTTCTTGGAAAGCAAAGCAGCCCGTCCCTCTTCCAACACAAGGAAGCTGAGACCAGCTGCACCCCCACACAGAGCAGGTCAAAGGGCGCACGACCCCCCAAGGCTGAGCAGAATCCGAGCCATGCTGCTTTCTTTGCCTTTTCTGCCTATCGCCTGGTCCCAGGTCTGCTTTTGAGGTTCCGAGGGGGGTTGCGGGGGGGGGAGGGAGGGGGAGGGAGGGGGCACACATCGATGGGGACAGAAAAGGCCCAGAGAGACCGCTGTCACTCTTTTAGCTGCCATGCCACGGCCTCTCACCACGTAGAGCTGCCGCCAGATGGTGGACCACTCCCGGAGCGTCGTGGTGACCTCCTGAATGAGCGGCAGGTCGCCGGGGATGACCGTTTCATCTTGCCTGGGGAGAGAGGCGGAGAGGCAGCTAAGTTCAGGGCTCTGTAATCCCTGCAGGTGGAAACCTGTAAATCCCAAACCCAGGCCATAGATCAAATCAGCCAACAGAGAGAAGATTCACAGACAGGGCTGGAGCCACACGTAAGACTGCATGCGTCTCTAAGAGCGACAGGTGGTGTTTGGACAGAGCCGGAGAATGCTTGTCTGTGACCCGCTGTGCAAGGCGTCCACCTCCAATGTCTGCCTCCTGCACACCCCTCACTGGGGATGTGCCCGCAACCAAGGTACATGCCCTTGACCGGAATCGAACCTGGGACCCTTCAGTCCACAGGCCGATGCTCTATCCACTGAGCCAACCGGTTAGGGCTCAATTCATTTTTTTTTATTGGAAAGCAAGCTCTGGGCTTCGGGTTCCTGGGATCCGTGGGCCTTAGCGTGGCCAAGCAGGAGGGTAACACCCGCAAAAGTCTTCCGGACGTCAAGGTCTGGGAGGCGGAAGGTACCTTCGTCACCTGTACCCATCTATCTCAGACGTGCCCCAAATTACAACCAACCCGTGTGGCATTGAAACGCAGGCTCGGAATAGGATGGCTTCTACGTTTCCACGGAGCATAAAACTCATTATGAGATAACGCCGGAGCGGTTACCCGCGGCGAACTCTGAGCCAAGTCACTGCTTCCAAATGGCCACAGGCATTCCACCTGACCCCAACTCTGATGAGCCCCTTCCCCTTTCTCTCCACCCAACAGGTCGACCCTGACCTGTCCTTAACCCGTGATCTAGGTGAGCGAGCACTGGTGTTTTTGTTTTGCCTTGTTTTATTTTTTTGTTTTTGTTAGTCCTCACCCAAGGATTTTTTTTCTGTTGATTTTTAGAGCGAGTGGCAGGGAAGGAGGGAGGGGGAGAGAGAGAAAGAGAGGGAGAAACCTGGATGAGAGAGACATAGCGATCGGTTGCCTCCTGTGCATGCCGACCAGGACCAGGAGAAGGGGAGGCGGACGGAGGAAGGAGGAGGAAGGAGATCACCCGTGCGGTCTGAAGGCAGGAGGTGCTGGGCGGGGAGGGAAGGGAAAGGCAGGTGGGTTTGGGAGGGAGCAGTGGAGGGGAGACCGGAGCGGTAACAGCATGGAGAACAGTGACAGGCGGCGGGAAGCAGCGGCAGGGACCCTGTTTCTAAGCTGCCAGTTTCCCCCAGTTCTCCATCCACCTTCCACCAGCCCCAGGCACAGGACAAGGGTGCCTCTGTCCCTCTGTGCCCGTCTCTGTCGGGCAGGGTGCGACTCTATTTGCTGAGAGCTAAAATAATCTCTTGTTCGCTTTACTCTTATGCCTCATAATTACAGTTTCCATGTATTTGTTTGTATTCATCAAAATATTTTTTAAAAAATTAATCACCTACGATCTGACTGCTACCCTGTTGCCTATGGAGACGGATGGAAAACACGGACGGCGTCCCTTATTCAGTCATTTCCACAAGGGGGTGAAAGTCCCACAGCTTGCCTTCTTCATCGCCCCTTTAATTTATTTACTTTCAATCCTGCATGCAAAACATCTCGTCTGTATAAAAGACCACACTCCGGCCATCACATGCATGCCTCTCAATGACTTTCTCCGCTTTCATGGACCTCGGGAGCTGAGCTGGTGCCCTCCACGCGGGGGAAGTGCGGGGCTTGGAGAGGCAATTTTGCAATCAGCCAGAGAGGCGTCATTATGCGGCAATCATCTGATTAGTAATTTGATAACCTACATGTGTGACTGAGAGTGAAGATGTAGCTGAGACAAACAAGGAAAACATCTGAATGCTCCCTCTCTCCCCCCGGGCACACCTGGCTCGTCATTTCTCACTCCTGCCTCCTGGGTTCCCCTGCTGCAATGCCCTTGTAATGACCTTGTACATCACTGGGATGACCTCTAAGAAACATACATCACAGCCGGACAAACTGTAGATGTTACATGTCCCAGTTTAACAACTGGCTGTTCCCCCGAAACTCCACGTGGACCAAAGCCTGCAGAGTCTTCCGGAAATGCCTGCCGAGCCGGGGGACCACCCGGCCTCTGCCTGGTGAGGCAGCTCCCCGAGGAAGCACAGGGCACTAGGATGCTCTCCAAAGTCGACAGCAGGTTCAAGGACACTGACTGCAGGGGAGGGGCTGACTGTAGGCTCTTCAAAGGCTCACAACCATGTTGCACACACCCCTAAGTCCCTCTTCCTCCCCCAAAACTCCTGTCACCCATGGCCAGTCACGCCCACTGCCAAGCCCCTCGAGGACCCTGCATGGGAAGGGCAGCGAGGCCGAAGGCCGCATCCCTCGTGGGAACATCAAGCCCAGACTCACCCTCTTCCTTCAACGATTGCTTCTTTAAGATGAATATATGAGGCAGGAAATATACCCTTTGGGGAGGAAAAAAAAAGACAGTTTTTATTATCAATATGATGATTGACTGTCAATCAAACAACTGTCCCCAGAAAAGGTGGGGGCGATTGGGTCTCTATTAATTCTGCAAACTTAGGGTACGCCTCATGGAAAAGAGCAAAGAAAACAAAGCATGAACAATGGCAACGCACAGCTTGTGTTTCAATGAGGCTGCTGATCCCTTAGGAAGAAACAGGGTGATGTGTTTGCAAAGACATGATCCCGGAGGGCGGTCCTGTGACGTCTCCACGGGCCGCACCCCGTCTGCACTGCTGACCGGGACGCAGGCCGACCATCAGCCGACTGATGCCCACGTGCAACTTTTGGTGACGGTCTCTGATGGTTCCTGACCTCACAGGGCTGAGATGACCACCGACAGCTGCCTGGCCCACGGAGACCTTCTCAACAGTCTGATCCGGAAACTGGTGCATTTCGCCCAGTCGGCACCAGGGGAGCACGGCTTACAGGGCTCTCCTCTCCTGGGAGAAGCACGCACGTGACCCCACTGAACCCTGAACGGGGCCCAGGAGACAGCGCCTGCAGAGGACACTCAGGGCCGGGCACAGACCAGAAGTGCCAGGAGCCTCACCAAGGAGCGCAGACTCCCCCCTGGAGGGGAACGGAGGGGAGCACTGCAAGGCAGGGCTGGGCCTGGGGCAGCGCCACGCCAGCCGGGCACGGCTTCCTGCGTAAGATTCGGGGCGCGCAGCCGCAACCCACTCAGCGGCACGGGGGCAAGCCCCTGTTGCGGGAGCAGGAGCTTCTGATCGGGTGGCCCTGGCACCTGGCCCCAAAAGGGTCGAACAGGGCATCCAGAAACACAGCACCTGTCGTGCTGGGCACGTGCTCGGCCACCACGATTCCTGCCGACCGGGAACACGGCCGGATTTCATATAAAAAGGAACTATCAGCCCGGCCGGTGTGACTCAGCGGTTGAGCTTCGACCCAGGAACCAAGAGGTCGCCGGTTCGATTCCTTCCAAGTCAGAGCACATGACCGGGTTGCGGGCTGGATCCCCAGTAGGGGCCTTGCAGGAGGCAGCCAATCAACAACTTCCTCTCTCATCAATGTTACTATCTCTCTATCTCACTCCGCCTCTCTCTTTAAAAATCAATAAAAATGTATTTTTTAAAAAGAGACTGGGAATGCCATCTAACCCTTTAAAAATAAATAAATAAGATTTATCGCCGAGAGGGAAGGAGGGGGCAGAAAGACCGCAGTCCGTGTGGTCCAGGATCCTCATCTCTTCCTCACTAAAGCCCTCAGATCAATCGGGGTTGCTCTGGCAGGAAGGCACTCCTATCACAGAAGGGGCATTCATGGACCCCGGCTTCCCCTGGGGAAAGCTATCCCACCACCCAGCCAGTTAAAGGCTGGTCCCAACCTCCAGGCCCCCGGGCACGGGCTGGGTGGGGACCGGCGGCCCAGTCCGAGCTGGCGGGGTGGGTGGGAAGGCCTGGCTGGAGCCGCTGACTTCGGAAGCCGTGGTTACAGGCTCCGGACCGCGAGCGGAGCCCAGCCCAGTCAGGAGATAATGAGAGGCAAGGTTAGGAAAGAGAGGTAAGATGAACCCTCTGTCAAGCATAATTAGGCATGAAAGCACACAGCAGCGAATGCGGCCGGCCTGACCACAGCCGGGAGGACTCCACATCACAGGAGGACACAGGAGAGCCATCCCTGGGTTTACGGAGCTAAGAACAGAGAGGCCGCACAGGACCGAGCGTGGGAGTGGCCGCCACAGCGACCGAGCCGTAATGGTAGGTCTCGGCCTCGGAGGCTCACACACACACCACACGTGCAGACTGCCCAGGGCGCAGAGGCGCCTTCGTCTGCGAGCAACACAGCGGCATAAAACGGGCGTGATTCAGAGAAAAGCAGGCCTGTGTGGGCCTCGCAAATCTATCCATTTGTCATCGGGGATGATACGCCATTGAAAATCGGGGCCGTTCTCCGCTTTCTGTTGCTGCTGTTTTCTGAAGTCCTTCTACCCAGATCGTTCTTTTGCTGAACGAGGATCCAAAATTCTACCAGGAAAAGAAGAGGATTCACGGGTCTATCACAGCCTATCACAGCCCAGCAATTCGCTCGGGGACACGCAGCTGCAGTTCCTACGCACACACACTGGCCAGTCCGCACTGCAGCCCACACAGAGTTTAAGTTCAGAGAAGGAGGCACGAGGAAAAGGTGTAGACAGGCACGACAGGGAACTGATTTCCTCTCCAGGGTGATGTACGGAGGGATGTGCGCTGGGTTCAATAAGAACGACTTACCTTCTTAGACTTTTTCCTTAAGGTGTAACCTCTGTACCAGCCTAAACAAACACAAAGGGGAGAGTTAGTGCAAGGAGGCGTCCTGGGGCCCTGACATCGCTTTGCTGACCCTGGAAGCCACCAGGACTGAACGATCCCAACGCTTTGGGATGTGCGATGGGGCTGCCCGCAGACCGTGCTGGAGGCCTGGGAGGGCCTGAGCGGGCAGCCACCGCTCCTCCCCCGCCATCTGCCACAGGGGCCTGGAGGGCGTCGCTCGAGGCTAAGCAGCACGCTCAGAGGAGGACCCTGTGCCCACTCGGCAGCCTCCTGAGAACGCATCCTCCCGTCCCTCCCTCTGTCTGACTTGCGCTGGGGTCACTGCCAAGCGCTAACGCCGGCATCCTCAGATCAGAGCTGCCCCACAACAGACGTGCCATTGAGAGCGGACTTCCTGCCGCTTCCACGCCGAGGAGCTGGGCCCCAGGGCGGCGACGGACTCACAAAGTGCTTCTGTGGCCAAGGCCCCGACAGGAAGCAGCGGCCCAGGCACCGGCCCAGGCACCGGCCCGACCGCCTCGGGGCCTGGCTCACACTCAAGTCCCCGTCCCTCGGGTGGGGAGGGAAGACAGCACCGAGGGTGGAGGCGGACATAGGGCAGCGGTTGGCAGGATTCCGCACTAAAGGGAAGAGTCCCTTCAAAGCGGGGCCAGGCCTGACCACACCCTCGGCACCGCCCTCGGGCTGAGGGCAGAGGCTGTCCCTGCAAAAGCCCCCAGTCCCCCAGCCCCCCAGCCCCCGAGCCCCCCACGCAGCCTGACGTCAGTGTTTCCTCAGCCCCGTCGCCCTGAGGTCACTTCAGGCCACGCACTCAGCTCACATGCAACTCCGCCCGCAGGAGCCCAAGGACCGGGCCGGAACCCCCGCCGGCCCGGGGAGGTGCGTGCTGGGCCGACCCCCACACGGTGACCACACGCCGGGTTTCAGGCTGCACCGAAGGCAACCCTTAGAAACCGGGGCGTCGGAATTAGCTCAGAAACGGGAAGTGGCCACAGGCAGGAAGCTCGGGCTGGGGGACCGGGGTGGTGGGAAGTGGAGGCGTGGGGGCACCCGGAGGGCAGAGAGTGAAACGTGGGGCCGCCCACAGCAGCGGGAGCCGCGGACCGGGTACCCCGAGACGGCAGGAGTGCACCTCCGCACAGGCAGGAGCAGACGGGGAGCACGACCACACTCACGTCCACGAAAACCAGAGGCACGCCGTCAGAGAAGGACAGGCGCGGACACACCCACTCACACACGGCTGCAGGCTCTCCACGCGGAGGGGGCAGTGAGCGGGCACCTGTCCTCTGCTCGCCTGGCAGAGGCAGCGAATCTTTTAACGGCCTTCCTGAGCACAGCAAACCCGGGGGTTTCCTCCCAGGACCATCGCTAATCCTCCCAGCGCCTGCGCCAGGCACCGCGCTGGCAGAGCTCGGCGGCGGCAGGCAGATCAGACCCAGCCTCTGCCCTCTGAGAGCTCCCAGGCGGAGGGGTCCCTCAGACCAGCAGGAGGCAAAGCCCGAATCTTGCTGCAGCAGAGACTGTGGTTTCATGGAAAGAATAATTCCAAAAAAAGGAGTAATAATAATAACGCCCTGATCTCCGTGCAATGCCTGCGCGTCCCTCGGGGTCAGCATCCAGCCCCTGGGATCCTGATGGCCATGAGTGGGCAGCAGGCCGGGCACGTCCGCGGCCACGCGAGAGTCACTTCCTGAGCCTCTGTGATCTCGGTCAGCCTGGCCCTGGACACTCTAAAGGCAGGGGTGTCCTCCACGACCCCTCACAGCTCCTTCCACCTCCAGGGACCCACACTTCCTTTTCCTGTCCGAGTCCCCAGCCTTCAGAAGCCCGAGACGCAGAAATTAATCATCGCCTGAGGGCAAATTCGTTTTTTGAAACTTAATATAAAGAGCGATCCTTGCGAAATTTTATATTCTCTGGAGCAATCTCAGTAATATCCTGAGAAGGATCACAGAGCGAAAGAAAATCAAATTTGACAAACAGAAATAAATTTTCGTGCAGGAAAAGCGGGAGCAGGGGGGGAAGGAACGCGGGGGAAAGACCGAACCCTCACACGCTGCGTGGAATGCAAACAGAACACGAGGATCGGGCAGAAACACTGTCCCCCTCCGTGTGATGGTAATAACATCGCCGCGTCTCCCGGGGCCCAAACTCCCCCCAGGCGCCTTCCTCCGACCGGGTTCTGACTCAAACCCAAAGGCGGTTTCCAAAATAAGGGGGTTCATTGCCCGTAAAAGGTCTTTACAAAGAGTGGAGGATTCTAAACAAACCCTGGAAGATGCTTTTTAATCTATTTTTTAATATTTTTATTGATTTCAGAGAGGAAGGGAGAGGGACAGAGGGATGGAAAGAAACATCTATGATGAGAGAGAATCATGGATCGGCTGCCTCCTGCACGCCCCACACTGGGGATCGAGCACGAAACCCAAGCCTGTGCCCTGACTGGGAATTGAACCCTGACCTCCTGGTTCATAGGTCGACGCTCAACCACTGAACCACACCTCCAGGCAAAACGTGGAAGAGTGGCTAGCCGAGGGTTTGGCTAAACGCAATCTGAAAGCAACTTTGCTGCTGAAACGTTCAGTTTTCATCGCTCCTTTTGGTTCCTTTGCTATTTGGGAGCCACCCCTTCGAGCAGGACATAAAGCCGCCAACCACTCAAACTCGATCTTACCAAACTCCCCGATGTGAAGAAGGTAAAAGTCGAGCCTGACACTGCTTCTCTTCTGTGCAACAGTAACCACAGTGCCAGCTAATCTACAAGACACTCCACAAGGAAAACAATGGTCTGGGGAACCAGGGCCTGGGCCACCCCCCAGCACCCGCTCATCTCTGGGGTAACCGGAGCCGCCGCCCCCTGGGCCCCGCCCCGCGTGGCTCTGACCGTCTCTGTTGCTCCTCAGAAAACGGGGTCACGGATTTAAAAAAGAAAAGTAAGAACCGACAAGGCTGGTTCCCCTGAGGATGTTACTGACAGATCGAAGCGAGAGCATAGAAAAGTCTCCATTCCCATCACACACCTCAAAACAGTGACTTAAATACTAACCTATCTTAATGTATTTTTTAAAATTTTTTCAGTTAGTATCATGCATCTGCAAAAAAGGAACCAATGAGGTGTGTTTTTTTGTTTTGTTTTGCATGAAAACAGTTTTTTCAACAAAAAAAATTTTAGAGGTTTAAAAAAAAAAGGCATTTTTTTTTACCCTGGCTGGGTAGCTCACTTGGTTGGAGCATCGTCCTAATACGCCAGAGTTGCAGTTTCAGGGCCCATACAAGAATCAGTACACTGAATAAAGGGAATTTTCCGTTTTAATTTCATCTTCATAAAGCCTTCATCAAATAACGAACAGCCTTACTACTGTCCTTACCTGGCCATGCGCCACGCAAGAAAGCCCACCGCAGGAGGAAGGCGCGAGTACGCGCGCTTGCGTGACCAGGGAACGCTATGCCCACGGGCACTGGGAAGCCCGCCAAGTGCCCGAACAGCACGAGAAGGGACGCCCGCTGGATACGCACCTTCGTACGTCTCTAAGATGTGCACGGTGTCTCCGATCTGCAAGGAAAGCTCGTCCACTCCCCGGGCGTCGTAGTTGTAAAAGGCTGTGGAGGAGAAAAGGGGGAGACGTCAGTGGGGGTGGAAAGGCCGATGCTGCTTTTTTAAACATTAACACACGTTCCGCCTTTGCCTGGATCCTTCTCGCCGACACCCACCAGAGTAGCCTTTTCTTTCAAGAGACAAATATAAAGGCTCATCATTTACGTAGGAGAAATGCATCACTGCTCGGGGTACCAGACAACAATTAAGTGATTTTTTTTTAAATATATTTTTATTGATTTTTTACAGAGAGGAAGGGAGAGAGATAGAGAGCTAGAAACATCGATGAGAGAGAAACATCGATCAGCTGCCTCCTGCACATCTCCTACTGGGGATGTGTCCGCAACCCAGGTACATGCCCTTGACCAGAATCGAACCTGGGACCCTTCAGTCCGCAGGCCGACGCTCTATCCACTGAGCCAAACCGGTTTCGGTGATTAAGTGATTTTTTTTATTGTGGTAAAATATACATGATGTAAAAGTTGCCTTCTTAACCATGTTTAAGTGTACAGTTTAGTGGCCTTCGTTAACAGTCCAGTGTTGTGCTACCATCACCACTATCAATTTCCAAATCTTTCTCATCGCAGCAAACAAGAAATCCCGTGCCCAGTCAGCAACTGCTCGCCACCCTCCCCCCCCCACCCCCCGCTGCCACCCCGATAACCTGGCGACGAGCTACCTCACATAAATGGAATCATACAAGATTGCCCCCTTTGTGCCTCCTTTCTTGCGCTTACCATGCTTTCAAGGTTCCTACACGTTGTACCTTGTCTCGGGACATGATTCTTTTTATGGCTGAATAACATTTATAATAGGAAGAAAACTGGGGATCCTGTCAGCATTCTAATTATCACTTGGTGGACTATCTTACATTTCCATTAACACGTGTTTTCATCAGATGACTTCTTCCTAACTATGGACTGAAAACTCAGGAAACCAAATTGGTGTTAAACACATCCTATAACCAAAGCTGACAGTAAGAGCTACGTTACGCTCAAATACGCAAACGTACGTCCAGCATTAAGAGAAGACCCGGAGCGCTGGCCATCCGACACGTCTCTAAAACCCCAAGTCCCCATCCCGACGTGAGGCAGTGCCTACTCCTGCAGATGAGCACCCGAAAGAGCGACACCATGAAATGCAGGCCACACATGCACTCACACGTCAGGGGGTAAAAGAGCTGTCACGGCGAACAAAAGACGTTAGGAAGTGTCTGAGACCCAGAAATCATTCACTTCGCCGGCTCTCGATTTAAAAACCAGTCAGTGATGTCCCTCCTTCGCAACGGTTCCACCTAAAAAGATGTCGGGCTCCACGGAAAACCCACCTCCAAGTGCCCGATCAACTTCTCGTCCATCCATCCCGCACGCCCGCCAGACTAGGCTCCGTAAGAGGCACCTTTCCTGTGTCCATCCCTAAACTCCCCTTGTTCGTATCATGTGCGTGCCAACTCCCCCGGCAAGCATGGTGCGCCCCCAGCACCTGACCACCTCACCTCGCTTCCCACCTGAGAGAAAGAAGCCAGCCCCTCCCACACCTGTGTGCACCAAGGTACCCTCCCCTTGCCATCTGGGTTGCCCCTCCTCCCCCTGGTGCCACCTCTTCCGCAAAGCCAGGTCCAAGTATGTTTGCTCTTTTTTTTTTAATTTAATCCTCACCCAAGGATATTTTTCCCATTGATTTTTTTAGAGAGAGTGGAAGAGAGGGGGAGGGGAGAGAGAGAAACATGGATTGCTTGCCTCCTGCTTGCGCCCCGACTGGGGCCAGGAATTGAACCTGCAACTGAGGTACGTGCCCTTGACCGGGAGTTGAACCTGGGACCCTTCGGTCCTATGGCTGATGCTCTAAGCACTGAGCCAAGCTGGCCAGGGCTATGTTTGCTCTTTTAACCCCTTCTCCAAACATCCCAGCCCCACAGCACATGGGTCCCTGCTATCAGCTCCACCACGGAGGCCCCGACTGTGACAGCAGTCCCAACTCACAGCCCAGGCGGCCTCCCTGGCTCTCATGCTCCTGGCATCGGAGCCAGACAATGTGCAGGGGACGCCTCTGCCCGAGAAACTGGCGACCCCCAGCAAATGCCCCCCCTCTCGGCTGTCAGCTCCCCGCGACCCCCAGCAAATGCCCCCCCTCACCGCTGTCAGCTCCCCGCCTGCAGAGTGAGGACCTGGATGCCTACACCTCACAGGGTGGATGCATGTTGTGCCTCAAAGTCACACCACAGCCGGACCTGGCAACGTGGCGCAGTGGCGGCCCCGCAGCGAGCACGCAGTGCGTGGCCAGGGCTCTCGCTGTGGTCGGAGTTTTTGTTTTTACTGCAGTAAAGGCTTCTATTGCTACCAGAATCCTTTTTATATTTTTTAAATATATATTTTTATTAATTTCAGAGAGGAAGAGAGAAGGAGAGGGAGAGAGAGAAACATCAATGATGAGAGGGAATCATTGATTGGCTGCCTCCTGCACACCCCACAGGGATGGAGCCCACAACCCCAGCATGTGCCCTGTCCAGGAATCAAACCATGACCCCTAGTTCATAGATCGCCGCTCAACCGCTGAGCCATGCTGGTGGGGCCCAGAATTCTTTTTTAAAAGCCAGAGCCGGCACACTGGCACATGTTTGTAGAAATGCTATCACAGCTAAAGCCATGTACATGCAGAAAATTCCACTTTCACAGGGATTTTCCTATATGTTCACCAAAATTCATAAAAATTTAATGTCCTCCACTGACGTAAACGGTTATTAACAGTTATGCAGGTTTATTTAGCATTTTATGGTGAATCTTTTACAGGAAATAATTGCACCAGGTACAGCAAGCTCAGAGCATATGCCAGCCCGTCCCAGATTGGCATAACCGTATTCCCAAGCCTGGAGGGGCCATAAATGCATTTAGCACCGCCTGAACAGCATCCCTGCCAGCGTGCCAATGCGGTATAGACGTGGAAAAACAACACGTCAAAAAGAATAAAAACGAAACCAAACGAACGCACCCACTGTAAGTGCATCCGGGCCCGTGTGAGTCTGTACGGCACACACAGAAGACTGGGAGCACCTGCCTCCCTCTCTGAAGTAGGCAGACCCCAGCCGCTGAGAAATTCTCACACGTGAATACAGAACTTTCCTCTTTAACTGAGATATGAGCCTAAGACCCCTGCTTTATGGATGAAGGAAAAAGGGCCTCCGAGGGAGTATGCATGTAACCCCAAATTACATAGAAGAGCTTAAGGCCACAACACAAGCTGCCGAGCCGTAACCCCAAATTACATAGAAGAGCTTAAGGCCACAACACTGGCTGCCCAGCCGTAACCCCAGATGACACAGCAGAGCTTAGGGCTACAACGCAGGCTGCCCAGTCCCCAGCCTCTGTCCTTAGATTCACTGCCCAAGCACTCCTCTATTAAAGCCAAAATAAAGACTCAACTTTCGCCCGACCGGCGTGGCTCAGTGATGGAGCGTCAGCCTATGAAGCAGGAGGTCACAGTTCGATTCCCAGTTAAGGGCACATGCCCAGGTTGCGGGCACGATCCCTAGTTTGGAGGCAGCCAATCAATGATTCTCTCTCATCGTTGATGTTTCTATCTCTCTCTCTCCCTCTTCCTTCCTCTCTGAAATAAAATGTATATGTGTATATTTTTAAAAAACAAAACTCTAAGATTATTGGACAAGGGAGTGGGAGTAAGGGGGAAGTGTGGTAGGTAGCACAATGGCCCCCAAAGTCATCCACGTCCGAATCCCCAGACGCTGCCAGGATGGGACCTTTCATGGTGGCTGTGAGGAGGTGAAGGGCCTTGAGGTGGGGGTGCCAGTCCTGGATGACCCACCTGAGCCCAGTGTAACCTCAAGGTCCGTGAAAGTGGGAGTCGGGGGGCCAGAGTCAGAGAGAGGAGACGTGGTGACGGCAGGCGAAGTCAACGTGAGCAAGGAGGGGGCCGCCTGCAGGAAGAACACCACATGGACCCCCCAGAGGCTCCAGAAGGAAGCGGCCCCGCCCGCTCGGGGTCAGGACTCTGACCTCCAGAACTGTGAGCTCAGAAGCGTGTGCTGTGGAAGCCCCTGAAGCTGTGGGGTTGGTCCCAGCAGCAACAGGAAAGCAGGCAGGGAGGTGTGTGACAAGCAGCGCAAGTGAGACCCCTGCAGGCGTCTGACTCGGACAAGTCTGTGACCGGGGTGCCCCAATTCTTGGGGTGATAGAAAAATGAGGAACAACGTTATTTCTTAAATAAACGCAAAAGTGTTCCATGGAAAAGGCTATTCCTTGTGCTGATTCCTTGACCTGTCGGAGCTGCCGCTTTCTGGGGAGGAAGGGCAGGGACGAGAAAGTGTGGCAGCGACCTCGCCTGGGGGAGGGCGATGAAGATGGATGGCATCTGGGTTTTCAATGTCTTCCCTTGACTGAAGCGCAAAGATGGCGGCCTCTTTGCCAGGCGCCCAACTTACCGTCTTTATTTTTGTGATCAGTTGAGATCTGAGAACAGCTCCACGAGAGAATATGTCCATCCACCCCTTGGAGAGCGTGGCATTCACCACCTCTGTCTGGTGAGCTGCGTGTCTAAGGATTCCTCCTCCTCAAATCCCCTCACCCTTCTAACAGCCTGGCTAGAGACGGCGGCCGGGGCCCACCTGCACGGCCAGGGGAGCGTCTCAATCCCGGACTGCAGACTCCGGGCGGAGCTGGACTTGTTGCTCGTGTGCAGCGTGACCCAGGAAAGGGTGTGGCGATAAACCAGCACGGAGGCTCTTTCCCAGGATGTGCTGTTTTCTGTTTCCGGAAGAGCCAGCAGCAGCCCTGGATCCTTTTTTCCCAAACTTCTGCCCACGGAGCTCACATGCACCAGAGATGTGAAGAGGGAAAGGCCTGGCCCCTGCTCCATCTGCTCACCCTGTAAATGCCACCCAGGGGTGTAAGGAAAGACCTGCAGCTCACCAATCACAGAGGGGGCTTCCACGTGCACCCATATTGCTAACAGTACTGACGGTGAGGGTGCCACGAATGACGCTGCTGCGGCTGATGGGGTGATGGCGGAACCCCAGGAATGATGTGAAGGTGGTGATGGTGATGGTGATGGTGATGGTGATGGTGATTCTGATGATGAGGATAGTGATGAGGGGGAGTGAGAACAGTAATGGTAATGGAAGTGATGATGGTGGTGATAATGATGGTGATGGTGGTCATGGTGAGGATGGTGATGGTGATTATGATAATGATGGTGATTATGATGATGGTGGTAATGATAGTGATGGTGGTGATAGTGCTGGTGATGGTGATTATGATGATAATGATGGTGATGATGGTGATGGTGGTGATGGTGGTGATGGTGGTGGTCATGATGATGGTGATGGTGAGGATGGTGATAATAATGATGATAATGATACTGACAGTGCTGCTGCTATGGTACTGGCTGACATTTACTGAGTATATTCCATGGGCTAGGCATTGAGGTAAGTGCTTCACATGCTCAGATTAATTTAATCCTCACAAGAGTCCTGTGAAGTGGACACAGAGTTTTCCCCATTTCCCTCATCAGAGTTTCCAGCAGCTTAGAGTCTGCCCAGGTGTGAGCAGTCAGTGGAGGGGCTGTATGGCGCCAGAGGCCACAGTGATAGCCCTGCACAGTCTCATCTTCAATCCTCGGCCAGAGTCAGTCATCTCTGGGCCTCAGATTGACCTCCTGATGGCAAAGGACAACATCCAGCTTGACGTTGCCTGACAGGCAAACAGGTCCGTGCAGTCCTAAAGTCCACCAACGTCTAAAGCCTGGTGCTAATGACGTCTCATTCCTTACACAGAAAAACCCGAGTTGGGAGTCATTCCAGAAATGCAAGGTTGGTTTGACCTCCGAAAAGCAATCAATATAATTCAACCACATTAACAGAGTAAAGGATAAAAAAATAATCACCTGATCATCTCAATGGGTGCAGAAAAAGGATTTGAGGAAATTTAATTCCCTTTGGAGAAAAATAATAAGACCTACTTGACTACTTTGACATTAGGAAAAAAACACTACAAGCCATCACAGATTTAACAGAGTCCTACAGAGAGGAGTGTGACTTGCTCGAGCTGGCACAGGGAATTCAGCAGCCCTGGGACCCAGGTGTTTCTTTCAGACTGTCTCCACCACCCCACTGTGCCTGGCCCACATCGTCACCATCTCTCACTGAAATGAAAAATAACATTTTGGCTGGTCTCCCAGCTCAATTTATACTAACTGTATAAACGCTCTTCTCTCCATCACCAGAGTTATCTTCTTTAATTCTGGCTCTAAAACACTGCACCATTTCCCTTCACTTTCTCATTAGTGGCTAAATTCTCCAGCTCAGCATTCAGAATCCTAGGTGGTCTGACTTCAACCCACCTTTCCAATCTCATCTCTCTCCCCACCCCACCTCCCCTCACCCCAGGGCCTGCTATAAGCCACTCCACACTCTGGGAAGGCCCCTCCTCCTGTACCTCTGGAGACCCCTCCTGTCTGCCAGGCCTGCCTTTAATTTCACCTCCTGCAGATCCTCACTGAATTCTGACTTTCTCCCTCAACCCAAACCAGGTACATGCACACCTGAATTAATTGCCCACTGCCAACCTTCACTATAAGCGCTGTGACATCCCACAGCCCTGGAGAGCTGCTTATCTCTCTATTGCCTCTAGACCAGCGGTTCTCAACCTGTGGGTCGCGTCCCTTTTGGGGGTCCAACGACCCTTTCACAGGGGTCGCCTAAGACCACAGGAAAACACATATATAATTACATATTGATTTTGTGATGAATCACTATGCTTTCATTATGTTCAATTTGTAACAATGAAAATACATCCTGCATATCAGATATTTACATGACGATTCATAACAGTAGCAAAATTACAGTTATGAAGTAGCAACCAAAATAATTTATGGTTGGGGGTCACCACAACATGAGGAACTGTATTAAAGGGCCGCGGCATTAGGAAGGTTGAGAACCACTGCTCTAGACCAGCGGTCACCAACCTTTCGGACCCCACGGACCACCGGTTGGCAACCGCTGCTCTAGACCAAACTCCTTGGGGAGGGCAAACACTGATTCATCACTGGATTTTCCACATGCCTTGCGGGCACTCAACAAAAATTCACTGAATTTGACCAGATCACAACATATTCCTATGTGTAAGGTTGGTGATGGAGTGAAAGCAAAAACTGTATCATTTGCTGCCCTTCAAAATGATCTTGTCCTTTACAGAAAGATCTAGGAGACCAAGATTCTTTCATCAATACGAAAGAGAGACACAAGATGCGCTGTCCAGGCCCTGGTTTGGTCTCTCCCATGTAACGAGATAACCGGCCTTCAGCGCTCAAACCTCCTGGAAGCGCCCAAGGTGCGAGCCTGACCCCAAGTCCCTCCTGGCGTCTGCTGGGCGCCGTTCCTCCAACCCAGGCCCATCCTCCTGAAACGTGACTTCAGGATGGCAGGCAGCAATTTAAAAGTTAATTCGTTCTTTTAAAAAGTCAGTTTGTGAAAATGAATTGCTCTGTCTGTGATCTCATTCGCTCTGTCTTGCCTTCAGTTGGAAAAAAGTGGCCAATAGCACCCATCTCTCAGGGCTGGGGAAACGCAGCCCCCCCGCACTCCACCCCCCACCCCCTGCCAAGGAGACAGGCAGGGGGCGTGCCCTGTCAGTGCCACTCCTGGCTTCCTTCTAAAGGGCTGTCCTCTGCTGTTCCCAGGTCCATGAGGCCTACACAAGCTTATCTCGTCCCGGCCAATACACCCTCCGCAGGGCTGGGGTCAGAGGACAGCGGAGCGCAGTGCTGCCCGGGGAGGGAAGTCGGCCACAGCCGTGTCTCTGAGGAACAAGCCTTTCACACACTGGCCGCACCCGGCAAACTCAGATTGTACAGACGCCCTTCTGGGTGTGCACCCAAAGGACTCAGGGCGGGACTTGGATAGATGTTTGCACAACGTGTGCAGAGCGGCAGCGTCACAGTAGCTACGCGGTGGAAGCAGCCGGAGTCCATGGGCAGGTGAATGTCAGCACAATAGGGCCTATGCCCAGATGAAAGCCATCCAGCCTTCAGGAGGGATCTGACCCGCCCGTGCTGCCTGGAGGGCATGGCGCTCCGTGAAATAAGCCAGACACAGGCCAGGCATTGTGCACGTCCACGCACAGGGAGGACCGGAATAGCCATGTCCACAGGGACGGACAGAAAGCAAGGCGGTGACCGCCAAAGGCGCAGGGGAGGGGCACGGGGAGTTAATGTTTAATGGGTGTAACAACAACAACTAATATTTCATGGGTGGAGCGTTTCAGTGGGGAAGACGGAAAGTTCTAGAGGTGGGTGGCTGCACACAACATGCATGTGCTTCACGGCACAGAACCGGTCACCTGGCAGTGCGTAAGCAGCTCACTTTACAGGACATCTGTTTACCATGATAATAAATAAGATGCAATGGCTCAGTGGCTAGAGCGTCAGCCCTAGGACTGAAGGGTCCCAGGTCCGATTCTGGTCAAGGGCAGGTACCTCGATTGCAGGTTCCTCCTGGCCCTGGTTGGACCCATGCGGGAGGCAACCAATGGATGTGTCTCTCTCACATCGATGTTTCTCTCTGTCTCTCCCCGTCCTGTCCATCAATGGGCAAATCAATGGGAAAATATCCTCGGGTGAGGATTCACACACACAAAAAAAAGATGCAATGGATATAGGAAAGGCTGGTAAAGTAAATTGAGGAAAGTTCCTTATGGGTTTAGCATCTCCTTGACTGTGATGGAAACACTCAATGGTTCCACATACAGGGAGAGAGAGAGAGAATGAGAGAGAGAGAGAGAGAAACCCACATTTCTAACAAGGATACCACTTTCAAATGCACAAAGTCACTCCTGCGGGTTCCTATCTTTCTTTCTTAGGAATAGAGAGCTTGTTTCTCTGCCAATACAATCCCCCGAGGCAGAACTTCCTGCAACATCTGGGTATTAGAATCAAGGAACTCATCTAAATAATTAAAGAGAGGGAGCAGGGCACAGTAAGATAAGTAACATCCTCTGTTATTCAACAGTCTCTTTGCCTTTTGGACGGAACAGGTGGGAGGAATGGTGGAGATAAATGTGAAAAGAAATATGTAAAAGAGTCTTTTCTCAAATTCTAATTGAAGTGATAGACACAATTCAATGATATTTTAATATCTTCCCTCAGAACAAAATAGCACCGTATGCCTTATTCACAACTAGCCAGAAGGTCAAGGTGCCCAAAACATGCAGGTTTCTTAGGAAATACACTGGGTGGTGGGTGAATGCTGGCTTTATGGTTTTCCGTGACGGGGAAAATGAGAGTCTGCTTTCAACACTCTTTGTCTTTCATCAGGTCAGGGCTGGGCGAGAAAGCCACTGCCCTCATTATTGACAGTCTTTGCAAATCCGCCCACAAACAAGAAAAGCCTTAGCTGACCTGAAAATGACCTCTTTTCGCGCTTAATTGTGTGCAGCAGCAGAGGGGTGTAGAGCTGAGATAGGGGGAAAGATCCGATCTCTTTAATCATCCTCCTCTAGGTAGAAAAAGTAGTGCAGTTTAGGAGAACACATGCTGGTAGCCAGAACCATACGGCCACCGCCACCCCCAGGCAGGGCACTCCGCAAGGACCAGGGGGCTGGGCGTGCAAAGCCTACCCTCTGGGCGGCTGGGACACAGACCAGCCAGCCAGGCGGGTGTGAGCGCAGTGGTCCCACACCCAGGGGCGGTCCCCTGAGGCTCCAGGTGCGGACCTGGGCAGCCAGGACCTGCTGAATGCTGGATGCGAGGCAGGTCTTACTGTCTCTGCTTTAAACCAGGCCAGGACTCGCCCTGCCCCCCACTGGTCAGACTGGTTCTTCCTGAAGGGCACCTTGAGCAGGGGCACAGTGAGCACTGGCACCTGGTTCAGTCCCGGTGTGGGGGCGTGCAAGAGGCAGCCAATCAATGATTCTCTCTCATCACTGATGTTTCTATCTCTCTCTCCCCTTCTCCTTTCCTCTCTGAAATCAATAAAAATATATTAAAAAAACAAAAAATTAAAAAAAAGAGTCTCCATCGACAGGCGAATGGATAAACAATATGTGGTTTACACACAGGATGGAACGCTCTTCAG